CTGGAGATTCCGCCTCCACCTCAGACATATGGCCCAGTTGGAAATACTCTTCCATGAACTCGTGGTATTGCTTCTTTAACTGATGATCTCGATTTAATTTGCGCTCGATTGCTTGAAATTGCTTCCTTGCTGTATCATACGATTCACCTAAGGTTGACGGATCCATTTTCAGCGGCAATTGCACTACGAATCTATCATCATCGGCTCGACTGATTGTACTCCTGTAATGTTCTTCGCATTTTATTTCTTCTGGCGATAGATGGTAATTCGATTCAACCTCTTCCATTTGCCAGAATTTCTGCAGTTGATTGCACAACATCTGTTCTGATGAGAAACCACAGTAAGTTGTCATGACTATCGGAGTTCTGTTTAATTCCATCGCTCCCGAAATTATCCACCCGAATCGAGTTTTCTGGAATATCGGCTGATGTTTGGATGGCTTTATTTGTCCGACACACAGAAGATCCCAAAAAACACTTGCTCCCAAGAGCACATCTACTTCAGCGGGTGTGTGAAAAGTAGGATCGGCCAGGGTTATTCCTTCTGGAATTTGGACTTCTTGCACGTCTATTTTATTTAATGGCAGCCTCTCCGTAATTCTATTAATTGTTAAGAAGGGCAGTGTCGTTTGGAACGCATTATGGCACGAACGGATCGTAGCGGTTACTTGTTGATTAATTTTTAACGGAGTCTCACTAATGCCTGTAACAGTGATTGTGGTTTGCTGTTTAGATAGTTTGAGACAATCACTCAATTTGCTCGTAATAAAATTAGACTGGGAGTCACTGTCTAAGAGAGCGCGGCATTCATGAAGTGCGCCATCCCGATCCTTTATATAAATTATAGCTGTAGATAGGATTACTTGCAGAGGTCCCTTCGTGGTGCAATGCGTGAGCGTCGCTGTCGAAGCTTGAGTAACCGTTGCAACTGTTTGTTTATCTGAAGAGGATATCTTGGCTGGTTCTACCGGCGATTCCGCTTGATTCTTTTCTTTGACATTATCTGACTTGCTCACACCTTCTAAATGAAGCAGCGTGTTGTGATAACCTTTGCAGCGCCTGCATCCTGACGCCTTACAGCTTCGACCATGGTACTTCTTTAGGCACTTAATGCATAGTCGTTTCCCTTTAGCTTCAGTCAAACGGTTTGATGGCGACCAGTTACGAAAAGTACTGCAATCGTATATTTTGTGTTGACCTTGACATATAGGACAACTTAAGCCTTCGTCTGACACACATGCGCAAGAAACGGACTTATTATTTGATTTGTGGGTGCTGGAAACAGAACTTACATTACTATTTGAATGAGATAATGATTCAAGAAATGCGCTTCGGGTGTTCAAAAATTCAATGAACTCGTCTAGCGTAGGAAATGCGTCTATTGTAGCTCTTTTCAATTTCCATTCCCTCTTAGTGACCTTATCTAATTTAGGCGTAATAATATGAATAAGAATTGTACTCCAATGCTCAACTGGTTGCCCCAGTTTAATTAACATTGGCTGAACATGCTGAGAAATGCCGTCTAATAATTGTCGCAACGCAGCGTGAGACTCTCTCGTAATAGGCGTCAGATCGAGCAATTCTTGCATGTGATGTTGCACTATTAATCTTTTGTTTTCATATCTCTGCTTCAGTAAATTCCACGCAATTTCATAATTGGCGTTAGAAAGCTCTAACGACTGTATTATCTGAGCAGCCTCGTTGGTTAATGATAGTTTTAAATAATGCAACTTCTGTATTGGTGGCAAGGATGTATTAGCATCTATCAGAGATTCAAATAACTCGCGGAATGGAATCCATCTATTGTAATTTCCGTCGAACTTTGGCAACTCTATGTTTGGCAGTTTTACTTTAGTCGGCCTTTGTGGCTGAGAAAGGATATTAAATTGGTGATCGCTTGTTGATGGCTCAAGAGTGAAATTTACCGAATTTGATTGACTTGCTCGATCTGGTCGCGGCTGAAGTGCTCTGGCTGAGGTTATAATGGCATGATATGAATCTTCAAAACTCTCTCTTTCAATTAATTGCGTTTCTGAAGTATCTAAATCTTCGATTTTATTCTGAACCATATTGTATTCATGCCAAAGCCCTTCAGCCTTTTCTAGCCTGCTAGGCAGCTCCGCACGTTTAACAGAGTCTGTCGCCGCCTTTTCGAGATATGTTTTAAACATTGTCAGCTTACTCTTAATTCGGCCCCGCATGCTCACTAAGCCGCTTAGCTCGGACGTAGCCATTTCTACTTAGTTACGCTACACAACAGTCCCTGATGCAAAAATTATCAACTAATATATATATATACTTAGTGTTAGATTCGCCTATTTGCGCTCGCTGAGATCTCGCACTTAACCGCTTGACCAAGCTCGCCAAGATTCCTGCTTCCGATAGAGGGAGTGCAGCGATGTTCCGTTACTGCGCTGGAGGGAGGGAGAGAGAGAGAGTGAGAGACAGGCTTTCTCCGTGGTCTGCCGATCGTTGGTCTTGCTTCTGCGAAAGGCGGTGTCGTCAATGAGTAAGAGAGAGCCGCCTGCGTTTTGCCGGTATTTACGCGCGATTCGATGACATCCCGTTGTTGTCCCAGTACAGTCGGCCGGTCTCGCTACTGAGCAAGAAGGGGAGAGTAAGAGAGAAGCTTTGCCGTTATGTCCGCCCTTCGTCGATGCCGTCTCAATAAAGGATGGCACTAGTCTCGTTGTTTGAGAGTGTCGTACGTTTAGCAGAATGCTCGGTCGGCTTCAATTTCCTCGTACGACCACTACTAATTCTTCTTTTCCGTGGAGAGATCCGTAATCCCGTAGTCTCTGACCTTGCCTTGTCTCCAGAGATGCATGCATTCAGCCGGCTGTGCTTGCTGCCGTTGCTGGTTGTGGCTAATCTCTTTCCTTCTGGCGTCAATCCGGCTCGAAGGATCAATGTTTTGTACGATATTTGAGTAGGAGATTTCGTAATAATGTCTCACAAAACCTTATGACTGTGAACTGACACCGTTTATTGGAGAGAACATAGGTAACGTCTTGTCGCCATTAGTAGTGGTACACGAATGCCCCCGGAAACGGGCCCCGTTCTTCCTCGTACAGCGCCGCGGTGGTCGCGCCATGAACAATATATGTAATGAAGATTCGGCGATCGCATAGTAACAAAAATATGGCGCGAACAATGTATCTATTATATACGCGCGTTTTTATCTGATCCTTCTGTCATTACACCGTTTTTTCTCTCATTATCATTCTACCACCACATTATAACGAATAAGAAATAGTTACGCAAGATTTAATTTGCAGAAATTTGATGTGTGCGTGCTACAACAGTGTTGTGTGTGTGTTCATATTAAAGTTATATATGTTGAAATCACAGATTTCTATATATTATTCTATATATGCAATAGAAATTGATAGATATAAATAGATTTCTATTTCTATAGAAATCTGTGGTTGAAATGGTTTATTTATAAATGTATTATATTAGGCACTTTCGGGTAGCACGTTGTCAATTCTATTGCGTTATCCTTATTGTTTTGATGTATAATGCTAAAGATAGAATGTCTAATCAATGTTAAAGATAGAAGACGCGATAGAACTGACAGCGTGCTATTCGAACACGCCTATTATGTATTGTGACTGCTCTTTTCTACGAGTCGGACAACAAGATCGGTCGTTAACCGTCACTAATCTGGCTAAATACAACGATTTCAACCTCGTAAGCACGCAGCAACCAAAAACGCGAAGTTGGGCGCCAGGCACGAGCGGGCGTGCCACCCTTTAAATTATTACACGGAATCAAAATCTCGAAACGCGGTAGAGGGGCGATTCGTAGGGTGCGGAGGAATGTGGAAGAGCAAGGGCGAGATAGAATACTCAAAATTTTCTATAACAATTAACAAATATATTTGCGTATGCTGGAATTTACAGGCGTTTCTCCTGGCCGCGACTAACGCCGCGGCAACCGTCGGCGGTATCACCGATATCGAGATTCGCGCGTCCGGGAACGCTTCCGGAGATGACGAGTGTACAAGCTTTCGCGTTTACGTTTCTTCAAAATTCGCGGAATATCCGATCGCTCTACGCGAGTACGCCTCGCACGGCGTACTACAGATCACACGCGACGTGGCGTCGCGATAATTCGAAGTACTGCCGACATTCGGCACGCTAACACGCAATAATTCTGACACTCAATAACGCGAAAGAAACACAAAATAACACTTAATTAACGCACAAGTGATTCGGCTGTAGCAAGGCGAGCGCAAAATACTCTACTCGATTCGCGTAACTCTATGCCGGGCGGATGGCGCGGCACATGGACTCTACACACGAACATACGATTACGCGGACAACGAAACTGCAATAGCGCGATCCGCCCGACAATGAAATCGGCGGCTGACAATAGTAATCTCTAACGTTCGTCTCACCAAGAGCAGCAGCTACGAAAGATGTTCTCTCAAAATATATTCCGGCAGTCGGCAACTAAGCGGGAGCCTGCGTCCTGTCCCACGCGCGACCACAGCACAAATGTCGCTCGACGGTCCTTCCAGCAGCACGCAGGCAGCAAGGAGTCACACGATCGGCTGATTGTGCGCCGATTGGCCCTTGCCCTGCGAGCGCGACGCCCGCGAATCGCGGCGTCGCACGTGATCAACTGGCTCGCAACCGGTAGCGCGGACTTCAAATTAGGCTCGTGTCCTCATCGTGCTTTGGCGTCGACCCTGCTCGTCCGCCTCGCCTCAGTACAATTCGCCGTCGGCAACCCGATCCTGGCCAGATCGTGACAGTTCATTGCCTCCATATTTCCACCCGGATTGCTGAAAGTAATCGGCGGCATTAAAGAGCTCGTAACAGAGAACACCGAGATAACATTCGTAGGAACTATGTCTGACCTGCGTGCTCCGTTTCTCCCGCGATAAGCCAGTCGTTCCGAGGCCGATGTCTCTCTCCCTCTCGCTGCTTGGTGTAGACGATTTCCTAATGTCGATCTCTACCTACGGTTACGCTTACGAGGAGAGAGAAAGTTAGATAAAGCGCGCGGCAATATATCGGAAAACGCAATGGGCGCAGATACGCTCGCCTCCCTAAATCGGGGAGGTCGCTGGATCCCAAAACCGCGCTTCCTCGGTCGGATATTATGACTCTTGTGACGGACGGTCAAAAAACGTCACGTCACAGTATAAAATAAAATATCAGTGTTTATCAGTAATTAAAAAAGTATATATTTTAGTAATTTTATTTTTAAATATATCTTTTATTTGAAATATAACAATTTTATTTCAAAGGTTTTAGTGTGTGTGTGTTGTTTCTTCTAAAATCCCAAATTTCATTCTCAATATAAGCTAAATAAGTGAAAACGATGTGTGTGTGAGTGTGCGTGTGCGTGTGCGTGTGTGTGTGTGTGTGTGTGTGTGTGTGTGTATCCCAAATTTCATTCTTAATATAAGCTAAATAAGTGAAAACTATATATATATATATATATATATATAATAAATATAATAAAACGATATATATATTGTTACGCCCGGGGCGGTAAATCCCGCGATCACGCAGTCGTTCGCGTAACGTTCGCGCTTCCGCACTCGCGTTTGAGCACGCGCACCGGAAGGCCGCGGAGAAATAAAAGGGACACCAATTAAGAACACAAGAAACACTCTTTATTCTATAGTAACTGTGAACAAACAACGCAGCGAACAGACAGAGCAAAGCAAAGCACGTCTGTAAGGCACGACGGCTTGTCTCAAATCTCATATGTCGTCTGTTTGACAGATTTGGATACTTAGTTCCATTTTACCGGGTGTCAGTTTGCGAGGGCGCCAAAACGCTGTCCCCCAAAAATACATGAGAGTGAACAGGCCCTGGCTCCGGTAGCGTGACTAATATTTTCGTTATTAACATTTTATCATCTATCTCGGTTCTGAGTACTCTCAGACGATGAGCAATATTTTGGAGTCTACTTACGTTCGTGGCTATATCTCCATTCTTGTCATACTGATAGCCAAAGAACTCCTGCATCAGACTGCATTTTTGCTGCTCCGTATCTCTTTCATAGACTGTTTTCAATTTGCTCCACATTTGAAACGACGTTTCACAGTTGAGTATGTGCATTAATTTTTGATCCAAGGTCGTTACTATCACTTTTTGACGTTCGCATCTTTCTTTCTTCATTCCGCTGTTTTATTTGCTTCTTCGGTCTCTTCAGTTACCAGGCCATATAGTTCACGCGCTTCCAGCAGAACTGTGACTTTAAATTTCCATAGTTGATAATAATTCAGAGTCTACTAACTTTTTGACCAGGCTTTCTTCCGTTAGATTTTCGAACATCGTGTTCAGGTTTTCTTTGTTATCAATTTTTTTATTTATTATTACTTTTATACGATTTTAACGTTGTTACAAATATTTTTATTCTTAATCTTAATTTTATTTTTAATGATTTTAATAGCCTTAGGCAATTTACATGTAAAAAAACTATTTATACGTTACTCCTGTAAAAAAGGTAAAATATACGCATAAAAAGTAAAAAAAAGACGTAAAAAACACAAAAAATAAATTTAAATACTTTTTTTTAATAACTGTTATCACGGCATACTATAATATAATATTTATTTTGATAAAAACATTTATGAGATGCTGCAAGTGCCATACAATTAAGGTCTGTTGTTTTTCATAGAAAAGAACATTGCACGAGTGATAAGATAAGAAATTAATTTATTTCCTTTAGCAAATTTAGCCAGAAAGGGGACTTGGTTTACATAAATACTTAACCATTCACTCATTCATACCGAACATACATTTCTAACCTATTCCTTATTCCTATTTCTTGTGCCTATTCTTGATATCCTACCTTATACATATATTTATCTATTTACCTTCCCATATTACATTAATCTTGCACTTAACCTCTCTGCATATAATACATACAATACAATATAATATAATACAATAAAAACAATACAATACAATACAATACAATACAATACAATACAATAAAAACGGCTTTCCTTTGTGCTTTATGTTCTACTTTACATTTCTACATTTTTACATTTTACATTTTTACCTACTCATCTTACATACTTACATATTTACATTACCTATTTACATTTCACATTATCCAACACATTTACATTCCCTTTTCATTTTTTTATCACCCTCCTTATATTTAATCATTCCTTTCACAAAATATTTTATTTCTCAAACTTTACATTTCTTTTTCGCCTTATTATATAACTTTTATCTACATTTCCTTTTACACATCTCTA